AACTACATCATATACCTAATTTCATTTCATCCACTATTGAATAATAGACCTTTGTACACTGCATTCTTGCACAATAGCACGTTTCAACGCACGTGTCAAAATTATGTCTCAGCTGAGAAACGAATATTTTCGCAGAAATAATGGTTTCTCAACTGAGATACTTGATTACAATATGGATTGTATCTCAGTTGAGTCCAAACCTGTTATAATATGAATAATATGAACTATGTTAGACTCATTAGAGCATTGTCTTTTTTATAATTATCTTTTGAAATACGAAAAAAAAACATCGTATCTAAACAAAAAGCCGAAGCTTATAGAAAACCTGTAACCTGCTCAGCTCTGCTTTGGGAATTTTTCATGGAAAAGAAATTTCAAGTCATGACTGGTGACTTGGCTTGACTGGAGAAACTTTTTTATTACTCATGACTTGATTCGACTTGAACTGAGAAAGTTTCTGGTGATTTGACTTATGACTTGGAAAACCCGTGACTTGCCCTGCTCTGGACGAGCTAAATTACCGGCATCGTCTAATGACAGGAAAAAAGTTAAAAAAAGTGATAAAATTGAAGAATTTGTATTAAAAATATCGAATGCGGATAAATTATGCCAGAGTGTGGTCTAAAGCGCACGAACACCGGTAAAACATAATGCTAAACGTCTCTTTTATTTCGACTTATCCCTAAAAGAATAAAACCAAGAAAAAGAAGGACCTGTTACTTCAAAGTATTAAAACAGTGTGTATCTAAGCGAGCTAGCTGAGCATAGTTGGAGCCATAAAAACCATTTCTCGTAAACAAATCAATCTTATCAAAATTAGAAGCTATCGCGAAGTGTAGTGTACAAAGTCTTTTGAAAAACCACAGACTAACATATCTTCATCTTCCTACCGTTACCTCGCTTAGTCCTTGTGAAATACTCGATAGTGTACAAGCTCGTAGTTACTGTTTATTTCCGAGGTAGAAGATCAGGCAACTTTTGCAATATACCAAAGTGGCTACTAAACAAGCCTAAACATTAAAACTCTGAAGTTTCTGTGACCCTCCGACGTTTCCTATAACGAAAATTTCAGTCTGCCTTCTCACTCAGCTCAAAAATAATAACAGAACAGACCAAAAAGTTTGAATAGTCTAGTGATCACTACGATTCTTCGTGAATTTGAACCGCATTCATCCGCCGATTAAAAAATTTTTAAAGCGTGAAACTTATTGTCACGTGTAAAACTGAAAGCTTGAAAATTGAAAATCTATGATAAACTATGAACTGATTAACATTCAAACACACTAATATTTTGAGCGTACTAAAATAATAATCAGTTCTCCATAAAGGGTACATTTTTTTGTACAAAAATCTCAATTTTATTTGCAGATAAATAACGGGTTGGGCAGAGGAACTGGAGTGACTTTTGATAGGCTGTTTCTCAAGTGAAACTGCATCAGAAAGTTTCGTTCTGATGCTAAAACATAGAGAATTTTGTGTAGCTTTTATTGATGTGTCCTTCTGCCGTTTTTCTGTATCAGTAAAAGTACTGGATACCACAAAAACATTACTTGCTCAACATTTTACCGGAATAAAATCTCAGTTATTTGTCAAATAATTTTGTACACGCTATCCAAACACAGTATGAAAAAGTACAGAAACGCATTTGTTTTTGAGACACAAAGCCAAATTTTTGGACAAAGTTTTACTATTTTAAAAACTGCGACAAACGATGGCTAAATTTTGGTGCCTTTTATGTCAAGGAAAATATCTCAACTTATTCATTCAATTAGAAAAACAAATCAGCCATTATAGAGAAGAGCATTTTGTAGAGCTTGAAATTCTGCTTCTGTTGGTATTAAAAAAGCAATAAAGCGCTAGATGCCACAAAAACATCTTTTGCTCAACTAAAAAATCAGAAAGTTTTGAAAATTAATTTTTGTCGCGTAAGTTTTAGTTCAAAAATGTCTTCCTAGTAGTAAGAGATGTAGAATTTTTCAGTGTTTTTTTCTTTTTTTTTAAATAATTTTATCTTCACCTCTTGCTCTCTCATTCTTCTATATGTCTTATTAATATTATTCGAAAAATAGTTGCCTTAAAATTACGTAACGTTCGCTTTTTGTTAAGTTGCGTTGATATAACTCAACTTTAAAAATGACCCAATTTTGCCATTTCAGTACGCATAGACTATAACTTAAAATTTGTTTCCGAGTTCTCTACATAAAGATATGGAATGAAAACTAAATTTTCTCTTTTCTTCCCTGAATGATTATGAGTGATAACCGTACAAGATCCTCCTCATTAAACTTTTCTTCTCATTCTTTTACATACAGCTATACTATCGTCTTGCATATATATGACTTCCCTTTTTCTGTTGTTGCAAAGAAGATTTACTAGAAAAGCATGTTTCTCAAACGTTTTGTTGATGTAAATATTTTCTGAATCGATCAAGATAAAATAATGTGAAATAATGTGATCGACAAATAATAATCTTTTTCTGGATACTTAAGCAAGCAAATTCTTTCTAAACACGTAGATTTCTAGAGCAGAGGTCTGTGTGTTGAGAGAGTGAAAAATGCATATTTTATTGTATACCTCACAGGTGAAAGAAACTTTATACTACTAGACTAATGTTGGTATATCCGAATTACGTATCGTATTCTATTACTATCGTCATCATCAAAATACTTCAGCGGTGTCTAAAGTATTATACGATAAGCAGAAGTAAAGACGTATATACTGCTTTGTTCTAAGAAAAATCAGTTCATTGATGTTACCGCGCTGGTATTGTATTAAAATTTGTAATCATTCTGATTTATTTCTTCTTTACGTGAGCAAGCTTGATTTGTACGTAAACAAATACAAAAAAGATCAAATTTTCAATCAAATGTTTTGATTTTCCGTTTGCGAACATACGTGATCAAATGAGCAAGGTATGGATGCTATCTATACTATAATTTTGCAAGATATCTCACTTTCCAATATGCTTGGTGTAATATGCGGTTACTGACCTAGTAACACATTATTGCTATGAAATACTCAGTATAAGACGTTCCTACTGACAAGAAAGAAAGAAGATGAAACAAAGCTAATAAAATACTTCAGAGATAAAATCGTTGGATATAGACGACGGTTTCTTCATCCTAGATCCATCACTAATCTGGCACCTCTTAGCAATAAGGTACCGGTGACAACTATGTCTTATAAGAGATACAAAACCATATTTTTCAATGTATCGCTTTTCATAACTAAAGCGTGTATATTCTGACAAAGCAATATTTTGGCACGAAACTGCGTTTCTAAAAAGACTGCAATTATAAACTTGGAATCTGTTTTCTCAAAAGCCGTACATTGTTTCTCCTTTTTATATTCCAAAATCAAACATAAAAACAGCTCTAACCCATAAAGAAAAACCACCACAATGCAACTCCTTAGCCTAATAACCATATATTTAACACTACAACCATTCCAATGCATACGGGCAACAACCAAAGAACCAATTGTAAGTAGTGCAGGAGCATCAACAACCCGTAGAACCCTTATACCAATAACATACAAGTGTAATACCAGCTCTTCGTGTGGTTGTTCATCCAAACCAGTCACATTATCATCCAGAATTATTGGCGGCGAAATGGCTGAAATTGGGAGTTGGGGTTGGATTGTATCGTTGAGGGTGGGCATTTTTGGCCCTCAATGTGGCGG